ACACTCACACCCACACTCACACTCACACTCACACTCACACACACACACACACACACACATACATACAAACATACATATGCAACAGAACAGGCTATGAAAGGCAGTCTATGACAGGACTATTCACATGCAACACCAACATGTTTCACATGTAAAATTTGCTGGTGAAATACACAAAAAATTATTCACACAGAACTTGAGACAAATGTGTAATTTGATGAAAAAGATTTACCAAAAACGTACACTACCGCTCAAAGGTCTAGTGTCATTTCGTTTTTTTAAATAATAAAAAATAATGTGAAAATTTAAAAATTAATAATGATGATGTTTTAAAAAATAATGTAAATAATTTTAATAATCTATTAATTAATTTAATCCTTTTAGTTATTAAAATTGTTTACTATATTAAATAATTACATTTATATTTAAATTAAATTATTCATTCTCTTTTTTTGCTCACCATGGCAGCATTTATTTGATTAAATGTGTTTTAAATTGATTAATATTGTGAAATAATAAAAACTGTAAAATTATTCACTGTTGAATATGTGTTAAACTGTAATGTATTTCTGTGATGCGCAGCTGTATTTCAGCATCATTCCTCCAGTCTTCAGTGTCACATGATCTTCAGAAATCAGTCTAATATGCTGATCTGCTGCTCAAGAAACATTTCTGATTATTATCAATGTTGAACACAGTCGTGCTGCACAATATTTCTGTGGAAACTGTGATACATTTTATTTTTCAGGATTCACAGATGAATAGAAAGTTCAAAAGAACAGCATTTATTTGAAAAATAGAAATTATAACATTATAAATGTCTTTACTGTCACTTTTGATCAATTGAATGCGTCCTTGATGAATAAAAGTATTAATTTCTTCAAAAGGAAAATCTTACTGACCGCAGACATTTGAATGGTAGGGTTTCATGAACCATTTGTCTTTCTTGAATGTGAGAAGGCCATTATACACAAACAAATGGACATATACACCATAGCAGATGCATCCATCCAGACACACACACAACTTATATCTCAGCCAGACCAATGAATTGTTATTAATCAGGATAACTAGCATATTGAGCTAGTTCTCCCGTTCTCCTTCCCGTCTGTTGGAACTGGGAATCAGTTTGGAGCCATTAGTACAGGCTTTCATAGTGGTGCTACTGTATTTTCTCGATGTGGAGGGCACATTTTGTTGGCTAACAGCTCTGTATTGCATATGGAGAGTTTAATATTGAGAAAGATAGTTCTTTGTTTTCTACTAACACTCTTAACACTGACGGCATGCTCACTCCTCACCACACGGGGCGCTGTGACCGTTCTGCTTTCACTAACAGACTGACTCTGTCTTTGTCGTGTTTCACATGATGCTTATTATTGCCGAAGAAAACATTTACTGCATATTAACTGCTTAATAAAGGGGTCATGTCACGATAAATTTACGTTTTCTTTAATATTTTGATCATTGCACTATTTATTGTTATTTGTACGATTTGTACTATGAAAAGATTCTAATGTTTGCTACACAAAAGATGAATGCAAACTAGTCTGCAAGAACAGCTTGTTCAGAAATTATTCATGACATCAGCCATGAGCTCGTTAATTTCTGTTAAACATAACAGTCATAATAGAGCTCATTTACATGCACAAGTCTATAATAACAACCCGTTCCATTTCCAGGGCCACAGAGAATTAAAATGCACTGAAAAACTCAGTTTGTTAAAGGGAAAACTGATATGATGTAAAATGATGATATGACCCCTTTAAGACATGTGCCTTTAGATTTAGCGGCACAGTGACTGTCTGATGTGTTTGAGTTTGTGATGTTAAACAGGGTTTAGATTGTGTGGCTGATGCATTGGAGCAGCACTACTCTTAATGTGTGTATTAACATCACTGTATGTGACACAATGCTGTGGTTTAATAGCTGTGATGGATTAACCGGTTGTATTTTCTCCTCAGTGTGTGTGTGTGTGTGACGTGTTCTTCAGTCTGTTTAGCTGTAGACATTGTGATGTGATGTTTGTGCACCGCATGTGTGTGTGTGTGTGTGTGTGTGTGTGTCTGAGTGTGTGTGCAAGGTCCAAAATGAACTTTCTGCCACTGCTGCTAATGATGAGTCAACTGAGAAAGTGTGCTGGCAATCAATCAATCATATATATATATATTAGCAGGCCAATTATATACAATTTATTCATAAATATACATTATTTTCCAGTATTTGCCATACTATATTTTTTCTTCCAAAATAAACAAATACTAACTAAATTGAAAGTAAATCATATCCACTATTAATTTCAGAGTAAAGGCACATTATGCATTTAGATTCCTAAATAAAAATACTATAAATAACAAATCATTTATTTATTTTACAGTAGAAAGAAAACCTTAAGAAACATGAATTAATAAAAAAAGCTCACTCATTTCTTTCATTTATTTAAAACAAATAATAATGTTTCAGATATGCTTTGAATGTAAGTAAATACAAATCTTTGTTTATATCTCATTTCATTTTTAGTTTTTAAATACATTTTTAGTTTAAAGATTTTAGGCTTCCAAGATAAATGTTTGATGGTGAATTTTAAAAAATTAAAAATGTAAAAAATTGACACGCAAGTCACAAAAAGTCTTTTTGGGTGTTCATGTTTGTAAACTTAATGTTAACGAATTAACAGGTTTTTACTGTAGCATTTATACAGTCTTTTACTGTATCACAATCATTTTTTACAGTCTACTTGAAAACTTGTCGCTAAAATCAGTTCTTTCAGTTTGACCATATAACATTGTTAATGTTGCGGTTCCTAATATCCTAATCCAGTTTATTGACTTTTATCAGTGTAACAGCGATGGGAGGCTCATGTTGGACCGTGTGTGTGTGTGTGTGTGTGTGTGTGTGTGTGATAGCTGTGGTGTCGGCTATAGTCTCGGAGGGATCTGGATTTCTCTCAGTTGTTGCTCTGGTGTCGGTGAACAGGGTTTGAGAAGCCCTTCCTCTTCCTCTTCCTCACGGTGTCTTCCTCTGTTTTCCTCCTGCAATCCCTGCATCTCTCCCCTTCTCTCTCTCTCTCTCTCTCTCTCTCTCTCTCTCTTCTTCTCTGTTTCTCTGTTTGGGTGTTGATGGGCGCAGGCACGATCCGTAAGGCTCAGAATCTGCTCAAACAGTACTCTCAGCATGGCCTGGATGGGAAAAAGGGTTCTAACCTCACTCCTCTGGAAGGTAAAGCACGCTGTCTTTCTGGTTTCCTTCCTCTTCTCAAGCTCTGTCTCTGGTTTTTTTTTTTCTCACTTTTGCTGTTTTTGAACTATTGTTCTTGCGTTTCCGAAAACAACAGTCGGATATCACAGAAACCTATGGGCCACAGCAGTTTCGTCCTCAGTGAGATGAAAGCATCCTCACAATGGAGAGAGACCAACCGTCCTGAGAGAGTCACTGTTTGTCTCAGCTGTGCAATATATGTTTCTTTTTTAAAATGTAAAATATTTTTAAGTTATACATTAATAACTCAAAATATTTTTTTTACTCAATTAAATAATAACTGTGTATTTAATAGTATTAATAATGAGGATTTGAATTGTGACATTGTGAAACTTAAGAACACTTTAATTTACAGTTTAAGTGAGTTGAAACGATGGCAATGAACAGCAGCATTTAACTAAATCTCTCTCTCTCTCTCTCTCTCTCTCTCTCTCTCTCTCTTCTTCTCTGTTTCTCTGTTTGGGTGTTGATGGGCGCAGGCACGATCCGTAAGGCTCAGAATCTGCTCAAACAGTACTCTCAGCATGGCCTGGATGGGAAAAAGGGTTCTAACCTCACTCCTCTGGAAGGTAAAGCACGCTGTCTTTCTGGTTTCCTTCCTCTTCTCAAGCTCTGTCTCTGGTTTTTTTTTTTTTCTCACTTTTGCTGTTTTTGAACTATTGTTCTTGCGTTTCCGAAAACAACAGTCGGATATCACAGAAACCTATGGGCCACAGCAGTTTCGTCCTCAGTGAGATGAAAGCATCCTCACAATGGAGAGAGACCAACCGTCCTGAGAGAGCCACTGTTTGTCTCAGCTGTGCAATATATGTTTCTTTTTTAAAATGTAAAATATTTTTAAGTTATACATTAATAACTCAAAATATTTTTTTTACTCAATTAAATAATAACTGTGTAATTAATAGTATTAATAATGAGGATTTGAATTGTGACATTGTGAAACTTAAGAACACTTTAATTTACAGTTTAAGTGAGTTGAAACGATGGCAATGAACAGCAGCATTTAACTAAATATTTTGCAGAACATGTAAAAGAGTTTGCTATGGTTTACGTGATGTAATATACCATCAGTATAGCTATTGTTAACTAAAACAATTTTTTTTAAATGTCATAATGCGAAATAAAATGTAAACATTAGTGCTTTCAAATGATTAATCGCGATTAATTGCATCCAAAATAAACAAATTTGTTTACATAATATACTGTATGTATGTGTACTGTGTATATTTATCATGTATATATATATAAATACACACACATACAGTATATATTTCGAAAATATTTACATGTTTCTACATGTATATATTTATATTCATATCATTTGTATTATATATAAATATTTTTAATACATAAACATAACATATTTTTCTGAAATATATGCATGCATGTCTGTGTATTTACTGTATATATACATAATAAATATACACAGTACATACACATATATTATGTTAACAAATACTTTTATTAATCGTGATTAATCATTTGACAGCACTAATAAATATTACTGAAAAATGTAAACTTAAAAATAAAAACCGCAGATTAGAAATGTTGCTTTGGCAACTAACTGAAATAAAATAAGTTTGAAGTGCTAAAATGACTAAAACTGAAATAAATCTAAATGAAAAAACGAATAAAAATGAGAAACAACTAAATTAAACTGAAATTAAAACAAAAATGTAAATATGAAAATATATAAAGTAATATATAAATATTACTAAAAATTAAAATGAACACTCAAACTATACAAAATATAAATAAAAAAGCATATAAATAATAGTGTTTAATAATAACACTGCATCTCAGTGAAGTCCAGCTTCACTCTGTTGGCTTTTCCAAGTAGAAAGTAGATTTTTGAGTTGAGCATGGCAGCAAGAAGACCGTGGTCATTGTTTTCTCTCTCAAACTGAGGACAAGCTGTTGTGACGTCAGTGTTTCCCATAAGTCTGTGCTTTGCTGGGTCCATCGGTGCACTTGAACCCCACTAACATCCAGCACTCGGTCGAGCCGCGTGAGTGTTTCCTTTGCTTTGTGGGCGGGTGAGTTTGTTCAGCACTCCCTCTGTAGCCCGGGGTGCGTGACCCGGTCATGTGACTGTATCCTAACCAATCAGGTTTCGATCATGACCTGCGTGGGGTTAAGCACCTGTCTGACGACAAGCATGGGGCGGCTGCAGGTGAGTCTGACCTCAGAGATTATGAAAAAACACAAGTGCTGAGTTCAAAACAATCATTCTGACTCATCCCTCGGTTTATAAAGAACTAATGATGTAATTTGTTACATTAGCCTCAAGTGAACAGAACACACGTTTTGTGTAAATCCTGTTGTTGTACTGTATGTTTAAAATAATGTGGGTTTTAATGTTTGTACTGTTGCAGTGGCCCAGCTAGAGATCACCTGTAAACATGTTTTTTGTCTTCTTACAAACTGAGGGATGAGTTTTTAGCTGTTATCAGTATTTCAAAGATGCTGTTGTTTTAATTTAAGAGAGGTTATTAATACAATTTCAACAGTGATATTGGGTTCAGTTCAAAGAGTGAGTGATTCAGTCCTTAAAAATTATAGAGGACATTCTACATTTAATTGTATTTATTTTAAATTAAACTTATGATTTTTTTATATATATAATTGTATTATAATTGATATTATTTAATTTGTTTTTGCTTTATTTTAAATTATTATTAAATTATTTAACATTTTAAATTTTAATTGTATTTATTTTAAATTAAACTTATGATTTTTTTATATATATAATTGTATTATAATTGATATTATTTAATTTGTTTTTGCTTTATTTTAAATTATTATTAAATTATTTAAAATTTAAAATTATTATTATTATTATTATTATTAACCTTAAAAAATCAAGAGGATGTCCTACATTTAATTTTATTAATTGTAAATTATGAATTTTTATTTATTAATTTATAGAATTTATGATTAATTAAAAAAAATGTTAATTTGTTTATTTGAAAGAATTATTATTGTTGTTATTATTATTAAATCTAATTAGTAATTAATTGTACTATTATTAATTATTTAAAAATATTTATTTCAGTTCGAAGAGTCAGTGATTCTGTCAGTTCATTCAACATTGAATCAGACCTGAGGTTATTAATACAATTTCAACAGTGATATTGGGTTCAGTTCAAAGAGTGAGTGATTCAGTCCTTAAAAATTATAGAGGACATTCTACATTTAATTGTATTTATTTTAAATTAAACTTATGATTTTTTTATATATATAATTGTATTATAATTGATATTATTTAATTTGTTTTTGCTTTATTTTAAATTATTATTAAATTATTTAAAATTTAAAATTATTATTATTATTATTATTATTAACCTTAAAAAATCAAGAGGATGTCCTACATTTAATTTTATTAATTGTAAATTATGAATTTTATTTATTAATTTATAGAATTTATGATTAATTTTAAAAAATGTTTATTTGAAAGAATTATTATTGTTGTGATTCAGTGATTCTGTCAGTTCATTCAACATTGAATCAGACCTTAAAAATTCAAGTGATCATCCTACATTCAAGTCTTTTGCTTAATATTTTCATATTCATTTCAACATCAACATCCAGTTTGAACATCTAGTAACATGGATATTATTTATATGCATCATTGAGACTCAGTTATTGCTGAACTTTGGAGTGATTAAATATGAAGAAATATTAAGGGTATTGTTCTGTTTGTCATTCATTTGTAATATTACATTCAACATTGAATCAGACCTTAAAAATTCAAGTGATCATCCTACATTCAAGTCTTTTGCTTAATATTTTCATATTCATTTCAACATCAACATCCAGTTTGAACATCTAGTAACATGGATATTATTTATATGCATCATTGAGACTCAGTTATTGCTGAACTTTGGAGTGAGTAAATATGAAGAAATATTAAGGGTATTGTTCTGTTTGTCATTCATTTGTAATATTCATTTAATCACATGCTGTAAATTTGTCTTCCTGCAGTATCATGCAACATTACTTCAGAAATCATATTTATTTCAAGTGCTACAGTACATTTTGAAAAAGTAAAAATGATTTGGAAATTTTGGTAACACGCATATGATTGAGAAATTACATCTTTATTTTTCATTTATAGCTCTTTGGTCTCATATTGATCAGATATATTTAAAGCTGCAGTATTTATTTACTGCATCACTGGTGGACCAAACAGAATTGTAAAAATGAGTCTTTTCACATATCAAGCAGATTTCAGTTCTGTTTGGTGTCCTTCTTGTGTGCTTTAATCACATTAAGTGTAAGATATTATTAATATATCACCCTTGGTCCACACTGATGGGGGTGTGTGTGTGTGTGTGTTTGTGTGTGTGTCTCAGGGAAGGATGACGTGTTGGACATCGAGATCGATTCGTACATCCACTGCATCAGTGCGTTTGTGAAGCTGGCTCAGAGTGAATACGTGTTACTGACCGAGATCATCCCAGAACATCACCAGAAGAAGACCTTCGACTCGCTCATACAGGTCAGTGCGGTGTGTGTTCAGTGTGTGTGTGTGTGTGTTCAGTGTGTGTGTGAGTGTGTTGTGTCTGTGTGGTCAGTGTGTGTGTGTTCTGTGTGTGTGTTCTGTGTGTGTGTTCAGTGTGTGTGTGTGTGTGTGTGTGTGTGTGTGTGTGTGGGTGTGTGTGTGTGTGTGTGTGAGTGAGTGAGTGAGTGTGTGTGTGTGTGTGTGTGTTGAATCACAGTGTTTGTCGCTGCAGGAAGCGCTGGATAATCTGATGCTGGAGGGTGATAACATCATCTCCGCGGCGCGTCGAGCCATCATGAGACACGATTACTCTGCTGTGCTGACCATCTTCCCCATCCTGCGCCACCTCAAGCAGACCAAACCTGACTTTGACGCCACGCTACAGGTAGAGAGAGCAAATGAAAAGGAATCAAATGTCCACGCTGGATTTTTGGCACCGTGTCGTAGCTGACGATGTCATATGCTGTGTTGTGGTGCAGGGAACGGCTGCCAGCACCAAGAACAAGCTCCCAGCTCTCATCACCTCTATGGAGACCATCGGAGCGAAAGCGCTGGAGGAGTTTGCTGACAGCATTAAGGTAGATCACACACAACGACTAATGATTCCTGTCATGACATCAGATGCAGAATTGTATTCTTTTATTCATTTAGATAATTTTATTAGAATTATTATTATTTAATTTATTGTTTTATTTAATTTTTAATAATAATTATAAATGTTATTAATTATTTACTATTTAATTTGTATTTTATATATATATATATATATATATATATATATATATA